AAGGGGCCCCCATATCCGATAGCTAAGTTACGTTAGTTGTTGATTTAGTTCACTTAGTTCACTTAGTTGGGTTTTTCTGGGTGGGATAGAACTTTACTATAGTTGATGTGTGAGTTTCTCAACCTGATGGGTGAGACTTCCCAGTGATCCAGTCACAGCAATGCCATGTTCGAATACCTTAAATAATACACCAGGTGTGATAGAAAACCTTATATCATCTCATAGTATCTAAGAATCTATAAATATCTTATATTCCCAAATATCACCAAATGTTATTTAGTTTTGATTTCAATGTTTCTTGATTTGCATACTCCTCGCTCCTATGTCTCGCAGTGTTTGTTCCATCTCTAGTGTGATGGTGATCCCAATTCGACTGACTCTTTTGTTTGGATATATATATATATATTTAGAGAGATACATTGATATAGAGATAGATAGATCGATAGATAGATTAGATTAGATTAGATTAGATAGATAGATATGTATATGATATGTATCCATACCTACTATTTGCCTTTAGATGATGATCCCTGTTCTTTTCTATGATGGACTGAAACGACTGTCGGGTGGCCCGAAACCACAGGCAGTGTTGGGCTTCGGCAGCTCAGTTTATGCCGCTCGGACACGTTGAAGTCACTGGGGGACCACAAGACATAGATGTTATATATATATATAGATACAGTAATTGTCTAAATTCTGTCACCAAAATTTCTGGGTGCATTTATGTTTATGTTATATATATATTATGTAATATCTAAATAATTGTAACATTATGTATTGTTTTTATATATATATAATAAGTGGACATATGAAATGAGGATATATCGCCAGCAATTTTAGGCATGGGTGTGGCTGAAAGTGAACCATTGCCCAAAATGGCAATATTGCCGGACCTTATGTTCAGAGAAATCGTCATTCACAATTGGATTTGGAAAACCCACAAATTAGATCATTTTCATGGAATTTAACATCTATGACAATGATTTACTTGCTCCAAATGGCCACCATCATCCATCATTCATGTTTAAGCTGGACACGAATGTTGACAGGGGTTGCTTATGGTTGCTTAATGTCCCGTGAAATGGTGATTTTAAACATTAGGCATTCAAAATTTGGTGGAGATGATATCCATAATAGTTGGGTGTTTTTAAAAGGGACCATTTCACTACCCACTTCAACAGCACAACGGCCATCTTGAACAGCGGTTCACCCAGTGAAAAGCACATTCCAACAAGTTGAGCCTGAAAAAAGTTATGGTTATTAAATGTTATTAATGCTAAGCCAACCTTTCATGATTAGCTTTCAGCCACATGTGGTCACCTTCATGTAGCCATGCTTTCTATGGATGAAATTCTTGTACCGCAAAAGCTGAGTAGTTGTAGTCAAAACAGCAATTCTTTGTGAGTTACGACGGGTCTGAAGCTTTATCGATCCGTTGTGTATCATGCTCATCATGCTCTGCACGGAGGCTTCAGCAGGGCACTACTGCACCGCGGCCGTCTGGAAGCGCAGGGTCTAGAACGAACTGACGGGCTGATCAGATAAGTTGATTTAATGGTTGATGTGAGTTCCAAAAATATCCACATTATTGCATGAGCTGAGCTTAACACCACACCGCACGTACCTTTCTTTTTCCGGGGGTATTAATAGGAATATCGGAATATCCAACCAAAAATGTGTCATTGTCGGTTCCAGCGGCTCAACGTACTCGGCAAAATCTATGGACCGAGCTCCGCAACCTCTTGACGAGCTCCGCTGGTATATCTGCTGGTGAACTTCCCTGCCACTGGTTGTTCTTTGCTACCCTCTGGTAAACTAACATAGCAATTGAAAATGGCCATTTATAGTAAATTTACCCATTAAAAATGGTGATTTTCCATAGCTATGTTAGTTTACCAGAGGGTAACAAATACAAGGTGGTGCCCCAGTTCGGAATCGCTAAGTTGGTGCCGGTAAATCCAACTATGGTAACCATGGTAGATATATTTATACTTACTATGGGGGCACCACGTTGTACCCAGTTTGATGTTGTTCAGAACACAATTCTTGATTACAAACATCTTAAATGCCATTTACCATAATATGACTCTTCACACCATTTGATTAATCCATCATGTGAAAATTGCCTGTAAGAATGGTTATGATAATCTGCTTTAAAGAACACATTGAATTTACATAAAATACTCTCACACAAATAATTTCACCGCTCATGTTACTCGTAGTTTAGCAATACTATATGATAATGTGTTCAAACATATATTAAATGTACTACTATCTATTCAGATTTAATCATATTACTATTTACTCATGTTACTCATATATTATATGATAATCGTTTTTTTCTAATGTTACGGCCCTATTCCATGACACGCTCGATGGGATGGGCGTCAGGTCCGAGCTGATGCCGCCTTGGCTTCCATGGGCGCCCGACGTGTGGCGCGCTTGGTGCGTGTCCCTTGGCGCGGAAAAAAGGGCGCAAGGTGGTGTCTCCATGGCCGTCGTGGGAGAGATGGTCGGATCTGCCCCGAGGTGACTGACACCCGAGAGCAAGCGGATCAGGCCGATTGTGGAAAGCTCCAAATGGCAGTCCAAATGGTGTACTCATCAAGTACCACTGTACCACTTAAAGTTTTCGCCATTTTTGTGATGAGAATTGATGATATATATATTTATATATGATCATCCAGTGGACTTAGGTAGCACAAAACCAAATGAGGGGTTGGATGCATTTGGCTGGCTTCAAATCTACTCAGGATGATGTGTCGCAGGGGCCAACGATTCGAGTTATGATGGATCGGATAGAACTGTATGGGCTTGCAGACCAATTTGTGGCAGTCGTCAAGTAAAATGGCAGAGTCATGACTGTTATTATTATTGTAGTTTTTACATGTTTTTCACATGTTTTCACAGAAGCAATTTGTGGCAATGTTCATGGAAAAAAGGGGACAATTGGTACGAGATTAGGCCCTCAATGGACCAAAGAAGATTGGTCATGTCCTTGCCGATTGAGAAGGGCCTCTCATTGGGGAAGTGATTTTCTCTGATTTTCCACTAGAAAACGTCAAAACATTCTAAAGAGATGGGGCTTGGTATTTGCAAACCATCTTTAACCAGGCTTCGGCTGTCATCAGGTAGTTGCCTGGAAGCAGGAGTTGCATGCAGCTCTGAAGGTGTCCATTGGGCGGGGAACTGCTGTGACGCTTCATCTGGGCTGGGAGAGGTTTGGTAAATGATTTGTGAACTTACCTGTAACATGTTGTAAATATGTGGCTTACATACGTAGCCATATATATATATATATATATATATTATATTATATATTATATTTAATAAATATACACGCATCTATATAGTGTACTGTAATGTACTGTATACAGATACGTATAAAGTAGTGAAAAGAAAGTCTACCTAATCCGGTTTCCAAAAAGTGCGACTGGGGGTCGAGATATCTTCACCTGGCATGATCCGAAGTCTGGTGATTTCCCGAATCAGAATCACACGTGGCTGGGAAATCTCCATGGCCTAGCCATGGAGGACCTGGCCAAAATTTCATGGCTGCGTAACACACCTGTCCAGGTAACTAGGTATATATGTTCGTTTTTACCTATGACATTTGTGCGTGTGTAATACATACCCTGCTGCAACCTAACATAGATGTGGTGTTTACCCACTCACCATGAATCTAGATTATTGTCCAAACAGGTGGCACCATGGGTTTTCAACATCTTTCTGTATGTGTACCCATTAAATCCCATTAAACCACCATAAAATCCCATGAAATCACGGTAACATCCCATAAACTTAACATTTTTGTTGGCTACATTTGCACATGAAAACCGTTCTGCTGTCAGCCGATGCGGTGCGCACCAGGCTGCACTCTCTGGCTCTGAGCCAACTCAGGCTGAGGGGGGTTTGAACTTTTGACCCTTTTGACACAACTTGGCAACATCAGCTGAATGGAGATGTTGTCATCCATGTTCCAGGCTTTTTTCGCCGGATCCCGTGAACTATAGCCCGTTACGGCCGAATTCCAAATCCTGGTTGGTTCAGTCCCCTTTGCGTGTCATGTTAGATGGTGTTCAATCCCAATGTTTTCGTATGTTCCATGGCCAAGTCAGACGGATATATCGTTGGTGGATGGCCATCATATCACTTCACTCTTGTTTTTTTGGGAATATAACTTATATGAGTTTGTCTAAAAATATTGTAGCCCAAAAATCCTATGGTTTATCATGTGTTCTCAGTAACATGGTTATTTGGGGTATACCTGTATACCATGGTATATGGGTCTGTTTGAAAATGGTGTATACCACCAGTCATGGTACTTTGAATACAGTACATGATTCACCGATGCATTCGGAGGTGGCATATTTTATCCCATAAAACTATATTATGAGTATAGTCTATGATTTTTAACATACAATATTTATATAGTTGGATAATCATCCGATTATATCCGATTGATAATGGATATATCATGATATATCATATCTAACTATATAGTTATATCGAATCAAACCTCCCAAAGTTGCACAAATCAGAAAAATACACGGCCGTTTGTGGGACGGGTGCCAACTATACAGATGTATCATGATGTATCATTGATATATTTAACCAGTATGTCTACATATATATATATATATACGACCATTGAAATGAACTATAGATATCATCCATGCGATATCAATTATAGCATCTCTATAGTTATATAGTTGGAAAATCATCCCCATAAACAATAGATATAACTACTATATAACTATAGATATATCTACAATCCCCAGCTATACACTTCGCCAAACATCGGGCTGTCTCGCCTCGTTCACCCCGTTAGGCGGTCGGCGTGGAAGGCCGCTCCGCGGCTGAGGCTCTGCTCGGTAATGGTGGAAAAATGGGGAAACAATTGGGAAATAGTTGTGATTTAATGGTGATTTCATGGGATTTACTGGTGATTTCATGGGATTTAATGGTGATTTCATGGGATTTATATAATGATGATTTCATGTGATTTAATGGTGATTTCATGGGATTTAATGGTGATTTCATGGGATTTAATGGTGATTTCATGGGATTAAACCCAATTCTATCATTGTACGTTTTGTTCAATCATTGAAATTGTTTGCTTTAGTTGGAACACCTGGAACAACAAAAACAACACAAATAAAAAACGAATGTCGATGGTTGTTTGTGCGCAAAGATTGTTTCTTATATATGTTTGTTGATGCAATGGTGTTATGTTTGTTCTCACCTTTGCCACCCTTTGGCCAGGTCGCCGTTGCAGACACCGCCGACATTGAAGGTCATTCACTATGTGCACACATGCGTGCACGGCATCCGCGTGATAGCATTGTTTTGTGTGGTGGTATGGTTGGTGCAAGTTCTCAAACGCCTTTGGTTTGATGCTGTGTGCGTATTTGGGGCTCTTCATTTTGAAACTGGTTCGGGGGTCGGACCAACATGTTGGATTTCAACGTGCAAACACATGTTGCATTTGTTTCCCGAGGCGATAAGGACTAAAATTTGCTTTTTGCTTTCATAAACATCTCATTGCCGTTCTTGTTTGTCAACACGTTTCTGCAAAAAAAATGCAACATGTGAATTGAACGATTGCCAAACCCCTGGCCAGAAACATGTGACCATGGTTGTTGTTTCCACATATTGCCAGCCTCTGTTCCACTGCATCATGAAGGTGATTCTGGTGATGATGGTGATGTTGATGATGATTATGATGATGATGATGTTGATGATGATGACGATGACGATGCTGGTTCCGAACATGTTTTTGGGTTCGTCGAAACCGTTGAAACTTCCCCACAGCAGGCGATGACGATGAATCGGAGTCCGACGAGAGCACCGCTGTCAGTTCAGGCAAACTTTGCGCACCTCATGTGGGCATGCTGGGTTCCAACATCTACCACTCAGGGATGTATCGCAGGTGTTTGATAATTTGCAGGTACATGTATATATTGTATACCCTAATCACGCTCAACTGGGGATCCCTTTAAGCAAATGGGTTATTAATTTGTTTTGCGCGTTTGCGGTTCCTACGATGCATACCCAATTTGCATGATTTCCTGGGGAACAAAATCCACGTGAGACCGTGCCATAGGTTCATGTTAGGAGACCTCAGGAATAGCATGCAGTTCCATGTTGGATTTCGGGGGTGTATATCTTTATATATAGTTTAACTGGGGAAATGTTTGGGGTTCGTGTAAGTGTACTTTGACGTGCAACGGGGTATTCTTGCATTCCGCATCAACTGCTTTTGACCTTAAACTATTACTTTATTTATTCGTTATTTTACTTTACTTTATCTTTGGTTCTGGTTTTTCTCGAGCATACACACACACACACACCATTTTTCTCTTCTCGCGCTACAAATTCTACAAACAAAAATGGAAGTGTAAAACATATTTCTTGGGCCCTGCCTCCCCCACCAACAGTTCAAAACTGCCCCCCCTTCATAAATCACATACCAGAAAAGCACAACCATATTGGTGGTAACTTAGGCCATTTTATATAAGTTTAGGGGATCCTTAGGGTCTGCTTAGGAGAAAATGTGATCTAGGTGGGCCGTACAAGTAACAAAAAGTGGAGTAGTGAATGCAACAACATCACTACCTTTGAGGTGGCATAGTTTATGGTTAAATCATTTAAATCATTTTAACGAACATCCGTTTGTATTGCGCCATAGTGTTGGAGCCATCAGGACATGTTTGCTGAACTTGTCATCAGCTAGCCAAAATCAAAGTATCGATGTTGGTGTTGATCTCCTTTGATGGTTGGAAAGTTGGACTGGTTCTGAAAAGTATGACAGCTGACATGACTATGTCTATCTTAATATTTGTATGTCAAGTAGCAATGGCAATGATATGGTATGATGATGCAAGGTGTTGTATCGAGATAATGATTTGATATAATGACAACCTTTACAGTATTGATCGCAGCATACCTGAGATACCGAGATACCGCAATCAAACGATCCAACCATTGTAAGTTATAAGTTATAAGCGTTACAAAGGCGTGCCTTCAACAATAGTTGTTGAGGTTCTCAATACACATCATATGATAATTACATGTTTTCACATTCCCGCTCCTGGCATGGGCTCACTCCTGAGCGATTCTTTTGAAAAGGAGGTTGGAAAAAGGAAATGGTGTGAGACATTTGCTGGGCCGCTGGCCCGAAGGCTGTCGAGGTCAGGCGGCCTGAGTTTCATTTTTTCCAAAGAAATGCTGATTTTCTTGTGCACAAAAGAAAACACAATTCATACCAGAAAGAAAAGCACAAAAAAAAACACAATTCATACCACAAAAAAAAGCAAAAAAACACAAGTCATACCACAAAAAAAAACACAAACAAAACACAAATCATGCGCGTTTTCAGCCCGTTCGGTCTTGAAATTGTGCGGGGAAAATATTGTCTAATTTGTGTTCTATTTCCAGCAATCACAAATCATACCACAAAAAAACGCATAAGAAAAAACACAATTCATACCAGAAAAAAAACACAAAAAAAAACAGAATTCATACCACAAAAAAAGAACAAAAGAAAACACAATTCATACCAGAAAGAAAAGCACAAAAAAAAAACACCAATTCATACCACAAAAAGCACCAAAAAACACAATTCATACCACAAAATAAAGCAAAAAAAAACATACCACAAAAAAAACACAAAAAGAAAACACAATTCATACCAGAAAGAAAAAACACAAACAAAACCACAATTCATACCACACAACAAGCACAAACAAAAACACAATTCATACCACAAAAAAGCACAAAAAAACAATTCATACCACAAAAAAAACACCAAACAAAACACAATTCATACCACAAAAAAAAACACAAAAGAAAACACAATTCATACCACAAAAAAACACAATTCATACCACAAAATAAAGCACAAAAAGCAACACAGTTCATACAACAAAAAAACACAAAAAAACACAAGTCATACCAAAAAAAACACAAAAGAAAACACAATTCATACCACAAAAGCACCAAAAAAAACACAATTCATACCACCAAAAAAACACTAAAAAACCCACAATTCATACCACAAAAAAAAACACAAAAGAAACAAAGTCATTTTCCTGTTTGTTTCTGCTTCAGTTCCTGTTTTTTTTCTGTTTTTTTTCTGCTTTTGGAAAGTTGCTGCTTTGAAAACATTTTCAATTAGCCAGCTCGGCCCAGCCCCAGCCCCTCTAGTCCCCCAGCCCCCCACCCCCAGCCCCCCAAAACCCCCCAGCCCCCAGGCTCAGCCCCCAGGCCTTTCCCAGGGCCAGCCCAGCAGCCCCGGCCTTTTATATGTATTGTACACACACATTCTATTGTTTTGCTATCGGCGCTGCGATGGGCAACATCCTAAACCCTAAACAGCATTGCTTTGCCATTGGCACTGTGGTGGGCAGCATCTTAAACCCTAAACAAGATTGCTTTGCCATCAGCGCTGCAATGGGCAGCATCCTAAACCCTAAACAATATTGCTTGGCCATCAGCGCTGCAATGGGCAGCATCTTAAACCCTAAACAGTATTGCTTTCCATCAGCAACATCACTACCCACAAGGTGCTGACAAGCTGGATGCACGAGGCACCCCATTGGAAATGCCAATGTCGAATTTTGACAGCAAGGACTTCTGGACATGGCAAGAAAATGTGCTGACCGTGGAGCCAACTTGCAGGGAATATGACTGGTCATCTAGCCTTAAAAAGGGAAAATGAACATCATATTGGGGGCTACAACTTGATTTTTGTTCGTAATTGTGGTCACTGTTGGTGTCACGAGGCAGGGCCCAACATATTTCCGCATTGTTGATTGCCTTACGCTTGACGAGTTGAGTTGGGAAGTTTGGGAAGAGAGAGAAAAAGAGAGAGAGAGAGGTAGAGGTAGAGAGAGGGAAACAAGATTTCATACAGCTACACTAGGGAGACAGCGAGGCGGAAGTAGGGAATAGATCAGTATAAAATGGAACATGATGGAACAACAAACTTACAGATTTCATCAAGTTGGGTGTGGGTACGTCCATGTTTCCCTGTTTTCTTGACGGTTGATGCTATATTTCTCTACATATTCCCATTTTCCAGTTCCGGAATTTGTGGTGACACGTTGTAGAAAAGAGTGTTCGCCGTTCAAGGATCAAAATTGCATCGCCGCAGGTACAAACGTAAAAAACTTGTTTATTAGACTTTCAAATTTGCAACATACATGGTTTGGAAGCGCTGCGAATTCAGAACCGCCATCCACAGTAAATCCTACATATCTTTCCGGACAAACGTTTTGGGATTCCATGATTTGATGGTGCCGGGGCTGAAGGATTCGGTATCGTATATCTCACCAAATCGATTTATTGAAACTGGATCCAAAGAGGTCCAAAGTGGGGAGACATGGAGCAATAGTTAAGTTGGTTTCCGCTCAAATATGTTGATGAGGTTTATAGATGTATCGAACATGTGGTTTATAAATTAATGTTATTTTACCTATCATCAACCACTATCAACTCTCATTTTGGTCGCTTAAAATTTGGTTTTGGTTGGTTCAATTCCTTGCTTGTTGGTTCTTGGACACCAACAAATTATATATGTAATATTATGTAATTACATAATTATACGTAATTATATATATATATTGAAGGGTCATCACCTTGTACATCCTGAAGACCACATTTCACTCCAGCGCTGACTTTTCCTGTGACCACCGACCGCTAAGCGCGCCATGATTCGCAAAGCGCCGCTTCGGCGCCGCAAAGTTCTGCGGCCGAGAGGCGCCACGACTTTTTGCGAAGCGACCGAAACATGGCGGGAATTGAGAAGACTCTCCGGTAATTTAATAGTTTGCTATTGAAAATGGCCCATTTATACTGGATTTACCAATTAAAAATGGTGATTTTCCATAGTTATGTTAGTTTACCAGAGGGTAATTACACAATGGTGGTCCCCCCGGCAGTTATAAGTCGGTTTATAAACATAGTAAGTACAGATATATCTACCATAAACCATAATTATTGGAGATATAAACCAACTTAGCTAACTATGGTGCACCACGTTGCAGCAATTGTTTGCAGCAATTTTGTCCGAGGTTTTGCCAAGACCAACAACAAAAATAGGCATGCAACGTAAGATTACCAAAATTAACTGGTTAACTTGGGTGAGAACTTGGGCAGCGATGGACGAAAAAAAAGAAAACATGACAATCTAGTATTTAATTTTAGACCATTGATTGTTTGCGGAGAATCACTGTCAACCAAACTTGGACTGACTGAGTTCAATGACGAACTACATCAAAGGAATTTGGATCCTACCGGCAAGAGATTGGAATATCATCGCAAAAAATGGTAATTTTCCAGGAGTCGATTCATTTTAATGGGGAAATGATGTTCAACCACTGCATCTTGGAGGACCATTTTGTGAGATATACTCAAATAGACATGGGTCAAAACCTTTTGAGACTCTTTTGTCATTCATCATTGGGCCAAAACCATGGGATTTTGCGAATGCTCAAGATGGGTTTCTCTGAGAGCAAGGTAGTTCCGATCTTGAAGGATTAGCATCATTTTGCGCATTGAAATAAGGTATGCCTCATGTTTGGACAATTCCGTATCTTTCCGCAACGGGGAATTCTCAAAAGTTGTCCATGTTTGTTACATGGTAGTGCTGGATGTTTGACATCCCAAGCAAATTTCCAATAGAATTGTATAGATTGCCAGGAGTTCCTTTAATGCGTATGGCAGTGTGGGTTTTGCTTCTGGGAATGTGACTGAGGAAGCAACTGATGCGCCAGCCTCGAATCAGAGACAAGATGAACTGGAACCGCTGTCACACGAGGTGGGGCATGGTCAGAGTTTGTCCCAAAAAGATGGAGATGATGAAGCGAGGTTTGGAGCCACAAATCATGTCATATTTGCATATATTTGCATAGCCGCATAGCCGGTTCTTGGAAATCATTGACATGTCGGTAGGGAAATATGCGTACATGTGAAGGGATGGTGTAAGAATGAACACCAAATGGTGCGTGATAAATGGAATTGGAGTATTTTTTCCACGAAGGTAAGTATTCAGGCGGATTTTTTGGATACACTGAGTGAATATCAGAGAACATAGGCAGGAAGTAAAGACTTATTAGATGAAGCTAGCCAACATCACCGCACCGCCGACTTTGTAAAGGGCCAGATCTCGTGGAGCTCACAGCTAGCCCTGGGGGCTTGGAAGAACAGACCGCTCATTTCAGAATCTATGGTCATGTTTCTCAAGATAGAGTAGGCATCTTGGAGTCTTTGATCTTAATTAATACTATTGACAGAAAATTGCATCTATATCATCGTACTCAAACAACCAAGAATCCAAAAACACATAAATCAACATAGCTATGTACTATCTACAATTAGGCTGTTTATATTTTTACGCAGGGCTTGAATGCATATGTCTGTGCGTGAGAGACACCTCCCAGAATATCAGATACAAAGTTGCCATTTAGACAGAGCGGCATATGCATATCCAGTGATCAGTGCATCAAGTAGTAGATTGGGGAGCCTCACCAAACTAAGTGGTCAGTAACTTCTTTTCAAATACCACTGTCTCCCAATGTTAAATCCATTTACTAGCATGGCACACCTACAATGTGGCACCCCTTAGATAGTTAATTTATGTTAACTTCGTTTGCAACTCCAAGAAGTATAATTTATGGTACTAACAAAACTATAGCATAGTTGCTATACATAGTAATTTTTGGGACGCTGATATGGTATCCCCATTGTAATAATTTATGGTACTAACATAACTGGGGCCCCACATTGTATCCCCATCCCCAGATACCCAAGGAGCTCTCGCGGACCTACGGCCTGGGCTTCACCCTGCTGCAGCGCATGGGCTACGCCCATGGTGCGCTGAAGCCGGGCGCGTTGCAAGCGCCGCTCATGGCGCGCGCCAACCGCGGGCGCCAGGGGTTGACGCAGGAGCGGCCTAGAGTGTTTGATGGTTTCGGCTATTAATATGTATGTATATGTACATGTGTATGATTATGTATAATTCAGGGTTGGTATGTGTTTTTTTCCCAACGCATATGCAGAGAAAATGAAGTAAGGTGTTTTGGGGTTGGGGATTAATTATGTTTTTCAGAAATGAATTCAAGTCCTGGAGGTCCAGCAAGAATACGGGAACACTTTTAATACAAAATGACGGTAGATCATTGTGGATGGATGATATAGTTAAAACATATTGAATCAATATACAGTACTCAGCAATGTAGTTTTGGTGCAAATAATATATTATCATCATTTATACCGCTATATTTATATAATTATACATATAATGAATCCGGATGTCATAAACATGACCATGTATGATTTTATATATATATATAAATAAATACATACATAGACACTGTACACATGTGTATGGAGGTTTCCTAAAACAGGGCTACTCCCAGTTCTCATCCAGCTATGTCCAGTCGCCTCGCGGGTCTTTCCTGTGCTGCAGGAAGCGGAGCCAGAAGCGCCGGAGCCAGAAGCGGTTGTGAAAGCAGAACCAGAGGATGCTCAGCGCAAGGTGATCCATTCGGTATACCTCTTCAGGATTTAATCATCCATTGTAGCTTTCACAGATATGGAATATATATGGAATATAACTAGATGAATGAGGTTTGATGTGATTTGGTAGAAGGGATTTGGAATCTAGGTGCTTTTGGGGAATTGTAGAACCCACCAAAGGACTATTTTCTAACCAACTAGTATTTTACTATGTATAAAATAACTATGTTAATATTACTTAGGATAATTTCCCACTTTTACTAAGTTACTAAAAGAGGGTAGATCCAAGGACTTGACGGCATTGCTGGCGAAGGCTTTGCAGAGCATGCGCGAGGCTGGCGATGTGGAAGAAGCCGAGGACGAAGATTCGGAGAAAATCACGGATCCTGAATATTCAGTGGAATATCAGGTGGATAATAAATATATATATATATATATTATATATATATTATACATAGATTTTAATATAATTATCATATATATATATTATATCATTGGATGATCTAACTTTACTACTAAAATCTATCCAATGGTGAATGGAGGGAAGAGTTTGGAGCTATGGGTACTCATATTTCCTATTGAATGGGGAGCAAAGGAGCTAGCTACTTTGGGTTTCCCAACCACATGATAGCTGAGACTTGGGGTTGATCACCTTTTAAGAGCACCTGGCTGAGATATCATTACGTGTAGTGCTTAATTATGTGTTAAATAATCCGATATATTTATATGTGTAATATGATGGATATGATTCACATATCGTATATAGATACATCTATGTACATCACCCCCTGGCTGAAATGATGATATCAGATTAATACCTTGCTGCATTATGACGACGTCACTAGTCGACCTCACTATAGATGACGTTGTGTACGGCTTTCCAGGGAAGATTTGCGGGTTATTTTTTGTCATGACAGCTTGGATATAAACAAGGTCATGCAATGTCATGTGTCATTTACAGATGATTGTCCCATTTACAGAGGATTTTCAAGCTAGCCATGTTCAATTCTGTGAATGAAGTCAGGGGCTCAGCTCAGCAGCTCACCACCGACAAAGCTACACTACAAGTGGAGGGGCGCTGGAGGGCTACCATTTCCCTGTAGCCTCACAAGGCCCAATAAGTGACTTTCAGAAACGTCTCTAAGGAAGATAGGAAGGCAAGATCCCTCTAGGATGTTTGGAAACTGATTTTTTTTGTTGGGCGATGTTGCATGATATAATAGTGCCCTTGTTTCCTTGATAATTAGTCACTTGTATTATTGACGGTCCGGACAGGAGCTACAACAACTCGCAACTTTTTGTCAGGGAGGTTTGAGTGGGCCACTTGCTTTGCAGACAACCCAACTTCTCAACATTGCTGAAGAAGTGTTTTTCTGGGTCTTCATCTTTGGGGGAACCATATACATATATATATATTCTCCAGTTTTCATTTCATGTGTTTCTGGCAATTTAGGTGGCCACCAATCAGTTGCAGATTTTGAGGTTTGGATTCAGAATGTCAGATGTGCCCCCTAGATGGTGAATACTGTTCGCTCAGGTTGCCACAAGCCCGAAAACCCAAAAAGCGCAAACGAAGATCTGAAAAATTGGAGGGAGATGAGGATGCTGCTGCAGAAGTGCTCAAGCACTTTGAGGATCCAGAATTTCCAGTGTCCTGGCGAAAAACATGGACGAACATTGTCAAATTCTTTCCGAATCCACTTGTGAGGTTGCCCGGGTTGCCCTGTTTTCCTCTCGAATTTCAGGGTGCAAAGTTCACAAAGTTCCGCTTGCGCAGGTCACATCCAGGTCACATTGTCATACATTAGAAAATCGTGAGGCTCCCCAGTGACTCAGATGGTCAGGGTCTCTCCATCAGAAATCGTCCAAGGTGGAATTGCAACAGCAGGAGACATATTTGAACTGGCAAAAGCGTTGGGGACGACTGGGCTCATATTGGGACTTTGTGCAGCGACACACGTCCCTTGACGCTGAACTTGTTGCGGGGATGTGGGCGGCAGGTTGTGTACCAGGTAGTACTGTTCTTTTAGTTTCACCACACTTGGCCTGGTATTATGTGGATTGGTTGGTCTGTTCCCCAGGCAGAAAAGCAACTGGGATGGGCAATCTCCCACTTTCCAATGGTTGTCGGCCATGAACCTCTTGATGTTGAGGCGATATTTCAACAGGATATGTCGCTATTTGCCATTGTTCTATCCACATGCATCCGCAATCCTTGCTGATGACTGAATATCGTCACTGTTCAATCTAGGAATCCAGTCTAAATTCAATCCAGGGACCAAAACAAGTCCAAACCCATTTGGAATTCCTAGATATTCCTAGTTCCCAGATGTTTTTTTTTCGGAGTTATGGAGGCAAATTGTTCCACTCGTCCTTGATATTTTGGATCAGAAGACCTCCCCTGCAGGACGCATTTCCGTGTGATCCCGTGCCCTACTGGTCTGAAGATGATCCTCCCCCAGCAGCGCCGTGAGCAGTTCCGGGTTGGGAAACTGCAGCGGAGCGGGAAACTTACGCGGAGGGTAGACCTGCGAGACCCAAATGAGATAATCAGACGTGGGAATAGGCAATATTGATGTTTTAACCAACGAGTTCATAGGATTTCATAGGGATTTACAATTTGATGGAAAAGATATATTTGGGATAATCATTGGTTATAATATTGATAATGGGGATATAACCTCCGGTGTCATCAAATGTTGCTGGAACATCCCCCAGCAATAGTTCCATGATTTTCCCGGCGAAGTCCAGTGCACTGAGACCAAGACCATTTTATCATCAGCCAAAGCGGTGTATAGAAGAACTTACCGTATAACATCTTGCAACCATCAACACATTGGATACATCATGATACATCCATATACAGCTGGCAAAATTGGGAGTATCAGCGGCTCGGAGCTGTCATTTTTTTTTGAATTCTTGACAGTATTTGAATGAATTTCGATCCATAAAAAATCGGTGCAACATTGGGGATGCGGGAACCGAGGATCCGACGCGTTTGCGAACATTTCATAAGCCATTTTCTGGGGCTTAACCATGCAATAACCGTTTAACCATGTTTAACCCACATATCACCAGCTGATTTCATATGGTGCTTGTAGCCTCTTACGATTTGTTGGACCTTCTTGGAGGCCTTTTTGCAGACGTGCGAAAACTGGTGCAGCTATCAGCCGCATGGCTGGTTGTGAACACCGGTCCCGGTGGGTCCGGGGGGATGAATGGGGTGGGATAGAACTAGTAGACTACTTGGCACTTCATCACACAAAATGGTTCTGGAAGATTCTTGTTATTTTTGTCATCGACACTTTTATCATCCCCATTGCAATTTCCCTTACAATATCATGGGGTCGGACCCCCAGTACATAGGGTTTTTAACCTTTGATTTTGTAAGGAACCCACCTTACAAAATTATATCCTAACCCCTAAGGATGAAGGGTATAACATCATTATGTAAGATAGGTGGACATATGGCAAGATGGATGGTCTTGATTTTGTAAGGGTACCAGACCCCCTTGGGGGGGTGCCAAAATGGTCCCATTTTTACAATTTTTGCAGAGAGCCAATTTTACACAACATTGGGGTTGATTTTGTAAGTATCCATATGTTTCTAATTTGGTTCCTTGGTAAGGTTTGATTTTATAAGGTGATTTTATGTTGTATTATATTTGAGTAATTTTGAAATATTTTGAATAAATGTTCCATATCCACAACATGGGTTTTGATACTCGCCGTTTTGACAAAATTACTCTAAAAACTTTATAAAATCATGGCACATTATGAAATCAAGCCCTGGGGGTATAGGGGGAAAGATCATGTTACAAAATCAAGGGACCAGACCTGAATCCTTATAAAATCAGGCCCATTACAAAATCAAAGGGTGTTTTTGGTACCAAATTTTATGATTTTGGTATGATTTTATTTTTTTTGCCTTGAATTAGGGGGTTAACTGCTCTGTAAAAATACATGTTCAGTCTTGATTTTGTAATGATAACCATGCTTGGAAAGGTCTGGTACCTTTGATTTTGTAATGATGGGTATCCCTGTCTGAGGGTCAGGCCCCAGCTTTGTACTTACAGAATCAGGGGGTGTGACCTTCACACTGAATTGCAAGGGGGATCTTTTATCCATTATCCAAGTTTGGAATATCCACTTTGATCCAATGTTCCTACTTTATCCAATTTCATGGTGAGATCAGTTGTGAATTTTCCTAACGTTTCGTCATGTTGCCGAGGAGCTCCCGTAGCGGCAAAGGCCTGAAACGCAAGTGGCGCCACCTGGCGCTGGTGCTGCGCCGCCTGCAGAACTTTGCCGAAACCACCGAAGGTGGTCAAGGGGAGGTGCATGGCATAGGGCAGGGGTGGATACTGACCTATGAAATGGGGATGTTACATCGGCGAAAAATGGAGAATTAATCCATGACCACCATAAGAAAAGTTGGTTTCAATATAGAACTAGAACTGTGTTCTTTTTGGGATTTAGCGATCGGAATGTGGAATTGAGTGACAAAAGCAAGGGTTTACTCAGTAAGAGTTGAGCTCGAACAAAAAACAAATATGGCAATTTAGGCAACAACGCATTGGAGCTGTGAGCAAAATCAAATGGGGATGTAAACAACAGCAAATGGGTTATTCATGGTTATTCCTCGGCACGAACGGCATTCGATGTGGTGACCCACTGGTAGATAGCTCAAAGATCCTTTGTTTGGTGCTCAGGCAGAAGAAGAGCAAGCAACGGAGAAGCAGGAGCTGAATTCTGCGGAAGTGGACGAGCCACAGAAAGCGAGAATTGCCAGCGATTTCGTGCCCTTGCTGAATGACACAGACCAGCAAAGCCGATGATGTGGGACGATTATTTTTTGGGACTTCCATGTCCAACTTTAACATTTCCAACTGTGGAAGGAAATGTATGGTGGGTGTGCCAGTTTCCTGTGATATTCTCAGCAATATTGGTTCCAGTGGTGGGGGTATAGAGAATTGCTGGTTTGTTCCATTCCACCTCTGAAGTGATCATCAAATGATCATTAATATTATTGGCGATCTAAGTCAAGGCCATTTGACCCTCGTTGTTTGGTGCTTGGGATTCTTACCACGAATCCTCGTCATTTGGCCGTGGCTGAGTGGTTTTCACATGGCAGGATGATCCCCATTGGGAAATACGCTTGGAGACTTGGAGATAGAGGTTTCCTGAAATGGATATCACCAGTGTTCATTCATGTTAAAGCATTTTAAATGGATATCCATTCAAAGCTATAAATCCATAATTTATTATATATTTGGACTTTTACAAACATTTTAATAGGATTGCCCATCAAATATAGAAAATAAACAATCCATTCTCTGGTACACCCATTGATGGACCCCCCCGGTATGTTTGGATTGCGTAGAACATGTGCACCCCCGGCCGTGTGTCTCAGTTCCCGAGGACGATGACGATCTTCCTGGACTTGGTTGGACCATCGATGGTTGCGAAGAAAAACTGGGAGGATGGAGGATGACAGCGTGTGGGTCTATTCTCACATAACTAAACTGTAAACAATAATATACGAAATACCTGTGCAATACTTGTGTATAATAATTGTGTTTGAATCACACAGTATCGTAGTTATATGATATTTGCATTTCCAATTACAACATGTTGTTTTTTTAGCTGTGTGGGTTTTATATTTATATATTGTTATTAATTATCATATATATATATATAGTAGCTAGCCAGGGACTCCGCCAAGTGCACCAGTCAGAGGAGTTCCCAGACAGAATCTGAAGGAACACAGTAAGTTATTGTAACAAATATTAGAAAATATAGGAACATTTATGTGTATATATATGATGTTATTATGATTTATTATGATTATTGTTATCATTATCATCAATTACTATTTATTCTGTATACACTATACACATTATCCCTTGATAAATCTTCCAGGCGAAGCTGAGCAGAAAGGAGCGTTTGCAGCTGAGCATCTCGAACGTCATCCCACTGGGTATAGATTCACGGTTGATATCCGTTGATTTGCAGGTATCCGGTTTGCAAGTAGAAGTGGCGTAGATAGAATGATATTTTGATACATCCCATGTTAATCTAGATGGAATTATTCTTGTTCTGATTTGTTTACTGGTATTGTATTGACGTTCAATGTTTTTGTATCAATTGATACCAGTAAATCAATCTAACATTGACGAAATTCCGAAATATCAATATCAATCTGACATTGACTACATCCAATTTACGGCTAAGACGCCCCATTGTTGACATTCCTGGCTTGATCTGCCAGCGCCCAGGTCAGACGTGGAGGAGCTTGCTGAAGGATGTGCAACCAAGGCCATGGCGCGGCCACCGCGGCCACGGTGCATCCAACATGATGTCAAAGTGAGGATATGATACCGCTGTTAAACATATATATATATATAACTATAATTACATCATCACCATCATCATCATCACCATCATCATCATCACCAGCATCATCATCAGCATCATAATCATCATCATCATGATCATCATCATCATCATCATCATCATCATCATGTTCATGTTAATGTTTATTATATCATTGTTTTACTGTTGATTTTGTGTTTTAACTATACTATTGTCACTATTGATTTTGTAATCATTTGTTATTGTTATTGTTATTGTTGTTATTATGATTTTATGTATATATATATACATATATATATATGTATAAATGGGTTATAAACCGTTCACAACCTGGGATGCGCATCCAAGGATTGATACTACTCGAAGTTCCCCATAAAGTTTCGAAAATCGGATATGAAGTGAACATCCTGTAGGACATTTCAGCAAACTCTTTATTGGCAATGAATGATTTTCCGTTCTCAATTGTTGATGGTGACAAGTGTATCGTAAGTCTGGTCCGAACCACAGTAGTTTGTAGCACCAGGTGTGTCAATGTTCCGAATCATCAAATGGATTCAAATCATCAACATACAAGAGGGCCCAAGAATGTGCTTCCCTCATTCTTATGAACCATTTTTTTTGCTACACGTCAGGCTCTGTGAAGGACTACGGAACAAAGTCTTCAATGAATCCAGCTGGCATCACCCCATAACAAAATGCCAGAAAATTGGGGTAAATCCCAATATTCAGACCTCAACCAAAATTGTCGGCAGGAACGTCCCATGCTCACCAGCAAGCATCGTGCACAACTGACTAAAGAAGGCGTGCGCTGTAGTGGACATCAAATGTGTTTCAATCTTGGGTTGAAATATACTCGGGTATAATGGAAAGTTGGGATATGGCGGATAATGGGGATTCAATGAAGTGCAAAATGGAAGTGTAATTGGGATACAATTGTATATAATATATGAGCCATGGTCAAAATGGTTGAAGACTACTCTAGTATTGCAGGAGTTTTTTTGTCAGAGATGTGCACCAAACACTGTAAAGCGATAGGGCACCCCCAAAAGCGATAACCTGGGACCATACACGACAGTCCATTAAACTTGGCGTAAACCAAGCGAATACTGTTGTGCACACTCAGAACGGGCCGGGCAAAACCGATGAGGGAAATTCAACCTGTGGTGCCCTGTTTCCTGCAGTTACCATAGCATTTGGCATCCAACTCGCTCGCTCTTTTTCTTTCTCTCTCTCTCTCTCTCTGCTGTTTTGTGGCAAATTTCCTTCGAACAATGTCATTTGTTGGAGGGGTATGGAGGGGTTATTTAATAGCGATAACCTTAGCGATAAGTTAGCGATAACCATTTGTTGCACTCGGTTCCCTGGCCAAGCCATGGAGCCATTTCCATAACTTTAGAAAGGAAATGAAAGGACATGAATGCAACATGAAAGGAAAATGCGTGGAAGATGAGAGGACATGAATACACATTGGAATGAACATGAAAGAAATATGAAAGGAACATTGAGCATGAATGAAAATGAATACCACAATCAATGAAAGGAAATTAATGCAAATGAAAGGAAAATTAAGGAGAATGCATCCAAATAAATGCAACACGAAAGGAACATGAAGTGTGTTGCCGAAGCACCTGAAACCAACAAAACAACTGCTCGATCCATTTCCGAGCCTGTTGAGGAATGGATTTTTCACAAAACCCTGAAAAGCGATAGGCCCCCCCACCCAAAAGCGATAACCATAACAATAGCAACTACTCAAATGTAAGGATTTTGACGGGAGCTCATATATACGTATATCAGTACCCGCTGGTAATCTAGCAGTTGGCTTTAAAAACCCGGCTCATGTGGTTCAATGATTTACCTCTTAATGGGAACAAACAGTGTGATTTTCATAGCACACTAATCACACGAATCACCAGAACTGATTCCATTGATTCCAAAGTGTCCATTCAGGTTTTGAGTGTTGAGCATAGCTGACACAGCTGCCATATACCCATAACGCCTGGACGGTACCGAGGCTACAAGATTGTTGGCTCGCACTCGGCCGTGAAGCTTTGTCGTTGGACGAAGCATCAGCTCAGAGGCCACGGAGCATCTGGGACATCATCATCCTTTGGGAATCGGGGCATCTGGAAATTCGACATGGAAAAACACCATGTTTTATGTAGGGAATCATCGAGCTAAATGGACATTATTTTTCATAACTGGTGAATGACCGGAGGATGCCATGGGGTCATTCAATCATATTATATGTCTCGTGTGTGTGTGTGGTATAAATGCCGATGGGTAATATACTACGTTACTACAATATATCATGATATATGTCCAGAAATAGTAATGCAATCATACAGTAGATTGGGGTATTCTACTTCTAGAGGATAAGCCAGGTATTTATCTCAGGTATAACTAACTGTCACTGGGATTAAAAACGAGTCATACGGGCTATAATTCATGGGATTCTAATCGAGGTTAATGGGATACGATCAACAATATATAAGGCCTACAAACGATAGGTAAGTTGGGGTCGACATAACTAGGTCTACTGTGTCTTACGGCATGTTAACACTGGATATTGAAATATGAAATTATCTCTGTTGGGGTGCAATGAGTTTGATCCATGCCGAAGAATATCATGATAGAACGCCAATGTTGCATATTTTTCTTCCATAGTGTATACTTGACCTGGGATACAAAACAAGTAATTGCTTACATTCAGATGCATCTTGTCTTAAGATATAAGATTTCCTGCAATCTGAATGGCACCTTTTGTGTTTGGATTCTGCTTCTTGGTTGGGTAAAGGAGGACAGCATAATACGGTAATATGGGTTTAACGTTTCAGTTGAATCAACCTAAGTATTCAAGTCTTATCAAATTTTGCTTCAGTGTCGAGAGCTGTTTGATATCCACATGTTTGTTGGTTTGAATATCCAACGACTTGGTTTAGGCCTTAGGCTGTATTGAGTCGAGACAGTCGAAACTCCGTTTTTTATGCATAGTTGTTTGTACCATCACTCCAGTTGACATGGACCCTGCCAATAAATAGGGGGGTTGGAAGATTAGTTTTTTCTCAAATTGTGTCATTTTCAGGGTCAATATTTATGTCTATATTATGTTTTGGGGAGGGTAAATCTATGTATGTTTGTGTTATTCTTGAGGAGTGGAAATCACCCAAAAGTCACATCAGTTCGCAGCCGTTGAAGGTCGAGGAGGTTGCTACAAACACTCCTTCTATGGCATCACTTCCTACCAATGCGCGGGGGCTTGGAGCTTGATGTGTTTGGCCAATAAAACATTGTTATTTTGTAAGGGGGGAAAATGAGGTTTCAACCATCAACATGGGATATTTGTTGTTTGTATTTTCAAACAAACCCATTGTTTCCACTTTAGGGTCCAGTTTGGGTTTTTGATAAATCTAAATCATGTGACAATTGCCACATAACAAGTTGGGAAATATCGTTCCTAGAGCTATGGTCAACATCGTATCATCATTGGAACGGCACCATCAAGCAATTCCATAATTCCAGCATCAACTATCATGGGAAGTACACACTCTGAATGATAGTTAATGTGACTTCCAAGATCCTCCAAGAAACGTTGGACGATTTGGATTTTGTTCTGTTAATGTTGCTGTTGCTTTTACTCCTCTGGATGTAGATCATTTGATCTTTTGCAACTCGACTGTTTGGGATGGATGGCGGAAACACCAAGCAGACGAAGCTTGTTTTGGCCCTGCCAGTGACATATTTGCATTCGTTAGTGATTATATCAGTTTGACAGTGGTTATATCATGTTATATCGCCATATTTGTTGTCCAAATCACTGAATCAGTCCTGACAGTTTTTTGCCCAATTATCATTCTTTCCCATGACGGATCCATGGTGCTGCTATATATGGTGTGCCATGGATCCCATCAATATACACCCTTTATGTTAGCATTAATATACCAGCACCATGGATCCTATCATTATTTGGCTGAATTTCGAGTCACAGTCTGTTTGTGAATCTGGCTTACTGAACTTTTCGTAGTTCACATCCTGAGATCCCATTTTTAGGTGTTATACTATGTTATGCTACTATACTACAATGGTAAATACTATGCTACTATACTATGTTATACTATGTTATACTATGTTATACTATGTTATACTACTATACTATACTACAATGATACATATGCGATAAATTTGGTGCTATACTACAACATATACATATTTATATATAATATATACTACAATGATACTATACTACAATGTATCCCCATGTTTTTCAAAAATACCGTATCTTTCAGCAAGTTGTCCACCATGGATCATCTTCTTGGAAGCCATGGATCCAGCAGGCATGGAAGCAACGCCTTCCCTGGCCTGCATGGGGCCCCGGGATCGCCGGGATCGCCATGTTTTGGAAGGGGGAAATGATGATCAACCACAAGACATTGCAGATTTTCAGAGTTTCTTTTCAGGACAAACTTATGGAATCATAGAATACTGAGAAACAAAATATATGTGATTGTTTCAGATACGCTTCATCTACTCGCTGATAAATGAGATTAAACATTACAAAATCAATTGGTTCCTTGCTTCCAGGAACCAAGTCTTTTCAGTTGATGCAGCAATTGAAATTCATGTGTCATCATGGCATCATTCATGGGGTTTCCACCAACCCCGGTAGAGGTGACTCCCCACATGATGCATGGTGAATAAGCCCTTACAAGTGGTTGTTGGTGTTTGATAAGCGAACAATAAACCGTTGTTGCTGTTGGAGGGTCACCCAAGGGCGGGTTGGTTGAATCCCTGTGAATTTATGTGTCAAAATCTTGGCACCCTACCCTAAAAATAGCTGGTCAATGGATGCAACATTTCCCCCACATATATCCAAATTCATGGATATTCATGGTAATTTCATAGGTATTTTGACCCATCCCACTTGGTTCTGAGGTGCCAACAAATGTGTTTTCTGCTGGCGACATCACAAGAACCCCGTGGGTACCGAGTGGAAATGGTCCATGGATCCGCCTGATCAGTGACTCGTGCAGCACGTGGCCATTGATTTAATGGTGGTGAATAGTGATTAATAGATATTAATAGTGATTTGTATTGTGATTATAATCCATTAATAGTGCTTCTTTTGTAGTGATCATAATCCATTAATAGTGATTTTATAGTGATTATTATCCATTAATAGTGTTTTTTTTTGGTAGTTATTGTAATCCATTAATAGTGATAGTGATTATACTCCCCCAGTAGCATTTTTGTAGCTGGTATGGTTGCTTGCCATTCCCAGTCATGGCTAGTTTATGGCATTGTTTTACGCACATTGTTGCTTTATTCTCATGATTGTTTATTGTTGCAAATGGTACGTGTGAATTATTATATAATATTGTCAATCATTGCTAGCAAAATGTTCACTATCTTTATTGCTGTCAACATCGCTATTATTCACGATATGGTAATGATATCATGATATAACATCTAGTTGGATCTAGTTACTAGTTATGCTTTTAACTTCTACTTATTCTTGCAAATTACAAAATCTTTAGTTATTCATATTATATCCCATGATGAATGGTGATATCCCATATTATCCCATATTATCCCATATGAATCACGCTTAATGCTGCTATGATTGGTTTGTTTCCATCACTGAGTCGTCCAAAACAGCCAATGATCTCCGAGGATCGTGGCAGATGGCGTCGATCAGCACAAGAGGCGACCAAACCTTGGGAGTTCAGCAACAGAAATGGTGGTAAACCATGGGAAAACCATAGGAAAACCATAGGAAACCCATAGGAAAACCATAGGAAAACCATAGGAACATGGTGATTTAACCGCTATAATTTGCATGGTGATTTAATGGTGATTTTTAATGTTGAATAACAATGGGTTAACAATGATGAATCATGGGATGATATGGGATTTACCCTCTGGCAATTTCTTACATAGCTATTGAAAATGGCACATTGAAATAGTTGATTTACCAAATGAGGATGGTGATTTCCATAGCTATGTAAACGTACCAGAGGGTATATGGGAAAAAACACATGTACAGTATATTTTTTATAACAGGTGTTATTTCACCAGTTATGTTTACGGTAAACAAATACGTGTTGTCATTCCAGAAATGGGGTTATAGGCTACAACATGTTACAACTGACTAATAACTATTCATAACTGGTCAAGGCCCATAACTGTATGGTTTGACGAGCACACAATCGAATCCATATGACTTCTGGAATTGACTGGCAAATTTAGAGGAAACCACTATATCATATATATATGTATGTACCGTACCTGGTAACCCTCTAGATTGTTTTTTCCAATCCGTTTCCCAAAAACCTGTTTTTTTAGAAACAGATCGTTTTTTTTCAATCTAAGGATGTATCAGGTATATATATATATATATATATATTGTGCTTAGGTCTTTAGGTAAACACATGTAAACATAATGTTATTTTTTGTTTTTCCGTGGGATGATGTGGGATGTGCCTCAGCACTGAAGGTCCATCCCAGTCCCAGTCGGCTATTTTCCAGCAGTCCAATCCGGTGAAGATTCCCAAATAGATCCAAATAATAGATAATAGTAGATAATAATAGTAAATAGTAGATATTTCAGTAGATATAATAGATATAATAATAGATATAATATAATAGATTCCCAAATAGTATAGATAATAGTAGATTAGTAGATATACAGTAATAGATAATCACATAGTAGATAATAGCATATCATAGTAGTGAGTTCATGTGAGCTCATAGATGTTTGTCTCAAATTGCATTTTTTCCCTGCTGCCACCGTACCCAGCCGGTTCGGAGTCAATCTAACAGAGCCTAGCAGGGCCTAAATGGTTGTTGGTAGTGAATAGGATGGGTCAAAACCTACTATTGTCATATTTTGGGCGAATCAACATCCCTCAACCAGCTATGACAAAACGGGCACCCTTTGGGTCCGGTTTCGAATCATAGCCATGTCCGAACATTGCGTAGTCACCTAATTGGTGTTACTGCCGATTCGTGCCAGGATGATTCGTGAATGCAAAGGCGCCTTTTTTTGGTAGAGCCATGAAACATGGATTGCCTCGCCAAAAGTTCGGGAAAAATCATGTTCAGTACTTGAATGAGGTTGTAAAATGTTGTAAACCAGTCATGAACAATAATAGAAACATCATGGGAATGTGATGGGATATACAACATTATACAACCAACTTGATATACTTGGCTTTGTGATGCTTTGTGTCAAGATTCGGGATGCCCCAAAAACGCAAAATTAATTCATGGGTACAATGATGATATGGATTTTGGGTGTACCCCAATTTTGGAGGAACCCATATGCGGACTGAAACCCTTACGACAAAGGTAAACCTCAGTGAATGGTTGGCTACTGGTTAATCTGTAGCCATGAATGGAAGAGTATCTCTTCTTTCCGCCAAATCAAATTGAGAGTAGCAGGGTAAAACCAACAAATTGGGCAATCCCATTGTTTCATCGGTATTTCATCACTTTGACCATACCCCCGCCTCCATTCCACTTAAGAAGAACGGAAACATGACTTACATAGATAACATGCTGCAGATGAAGCAAATCCGAGACCTTGAACATGTGGATGAAAACCATGCAATTGAGGATGTTGCCCGTGACACTGATCTTGATGGGTATTAAGTGCTGCACATTTGGTAGATTTCGCCGCAATTGTCCATCAATCCTATTTCAACCTTGATTTTGATGGGTAGATTGACAAGCTTGAGACTGGCCAACTTGGTTCCGGAAAATGCGTCGCTTGTGTCTAACCATGCTCGCAAAACCGGATCGGTTTGTCCTTGAAACAGGGGACACTACAATCCCGTTTCAACGATTTAGACATTTGTTTGGTGGTTTCAATTATTTGTCATGTTCCATCATGTTCCATCATGTTCCATCATCATTGGGGTAATTAGGGAAAGTTGACTCATATTTTTCAGGGGCGTGCCTGAACCACACATTTTAGATTTGAATGACTTTGCAGGAACCTCTATAATAGGATATGGAAAGTTTTATCAGCCTTTAGTGATAAAGAACACATTGTCTCCTGTATTAATAGTTTCTCAAATTAATCCTATACGATATACATTTCCTAGATTTCAATGGATTTGCAGGAAACCAAGGCATATTTTGTCCCCCCGCTGTGAGAAAAAATATGCAGGCATTCCCGGCGTGAAGAAGGAGCGCTTTGAGGAAGCCTTGAACGTGAGGCGACGATCCGTCCCGCTGAGTGTGCTAGTGGGGCAGTCGAGATATGCTTCTCCAATGATGTTCTTAGTTTATCTTATTTTTCTTTTACGGGGAGAATGGTGCTGAACCAGTTGTTGAAACCAGGTATTTTGGGTGTTCTTTCAATGTATCTATACAGGGTTTGTGAATTCTTGTGTTAAGTGATGTTTCTTTGGCAGGGACAAACATGCCTATGTAGTAAATGGTTTCTTCAAAAAACGACTAGAAAATCCGGCACAGTCAATCCAGGACGTTGCTGAGTTCACAGGATCCTTCCTCCTAATATTGAGCACTCCCCAAAAAGCATGGTGGATGTGAGGATTTTTTTTTTTCTGGGGGATGGGATTCAACATCACCGTTAGTATTTAAGCCACTCACCAACCAGTAAACAGTGTGATCTTCTTCCCTTGGTCTGGGATCTTGGGGGGATACCCTCTGGTCATTTCTTACATAGCGATGATAGAAACTTGCCCATAGAAATTTAGAGGATATTGCGATGAACATTGTGACTTTACACATTATATATAATATAATATCATATAATTGTTAGTTTACCAGAGGTATACAAGCCATTTTCAGACACCTCCGTTGTGCCCGTGACCATGTGAGTTTCTTCATCAGCACCAGGCATTGCGCCTTATCCTTGGTGGGTGAGCCCATTATGTGGCGCCACCCAGTTGGACGACATGTGCTATCTTCACGGGGATGTCATCATCGGGATTTAGTAACGCTTGTAACAACCAAAAATCCAAGAATGATATCCATCTTCAAGTTCAAGGCGGGGACATCCGTATGTAGATGCAAGTTACTTGATATCAAGTCCACAATAGACAATACATGTCCAAATTCAGTCGTTGCAACGTATCAACGGGGTAGATTCAATGACTAAGGTTAGACTTCCAGGGCTTGCCTTTCTGAGACATGCTTCACTTGGAAAAATTGCCAAAGCGATAAGATCTTGGATCCCGAATGCTAGAGGTAAAGGTTTCTTTCAAGATGTTTCAAGTGCTTGGGTGATGTCAATTGGATGTTATAACAATTTATAACATATTAACAAATCGTTCAGTTTTGACATGTTTTGACCATATTCCGTATAGACATGTTGAAGCTGCTGCTCAAAGTCATTTGCCTCAACAAAATTTGGTTCTTAGAGTCTGGCAAAATATGCCGCTCAAGAGTATTTGTCCCCCAACATGAATGTGTTGATATGAAACCACATATAAGATGGTGGCCTGCAGTATAAGTTGGTTTGCAAACCCCACTAACTAGATCTAACTATATACTTCAATGCAACCATGAACCCAAAGGTTATTGGAGTTACCACTTGGATCCACTTAGAACTATCGTGCCAAGGGGGCCCCAGCTTGGTAATGGTTCACCATTTCCACCACGGGGCACCACGAGGTATCCGAGGATAAATGAACTGGTGAACGAGCTCCACAAACGTCAGTGCCTGGCTCGGTGAAGTTGGTGGGCCACAAAAGATGGAGCAAATTATAACGACCTCACTGCAACCGAACCCTGGAAACATGGTCAATGAGGGGAATCATCCCATATTATGGCCGAACTATTCAGGTTAGTGAATTATTTTAATCTGCCCAGATGATGTAAACCTACTGGTGATGGGTAGTCTAGTGTTTCGTGCAACTTGTTTTCCTGTATACATGGGGGCCAGTGAGCAATAGATATTTAGCTCACAAAGAAGATCTAAGGTTGGCCATGAATCGTGGAGAGATTCTCGACCAGCAAAACCAAGAATTCAGCGCACGTAAAACATGGTTTTAAGTTGCCAATCGTGGAGGTCAAGCCTGCCAATGACAAGCACGAGTCCTTGCTTGTTTGAGACATACACAGCCCTCCAGCCCTAACCTCTAACGTTAGGCAATGGAAAGATCATCGAAGTCAGTTAACCAGACAGATCAAAAAAAGACTGCAGAGATTTAGAGTCCTAAGATGTCCCAAGTCTCAAAGGCTCCATTAGGATCCGCAACTGCCCCATCCCAGTGACTGCACTTGATACCATCCTGCTGGGTGAACCCATTGAAAGTCAAATCTCCTGGACGGGAAACGGCTTAAATTACATAGTCAACGGGTTAGATCTCTTCTTCCGACTTCCGAGGTTAACATGGTTAATTCAAATTACAAGAACATAACATAATATCATGTAATATCATATGATATCACATTATCATATTGTATCAAGTAATTCAACCCCAATGCAATTCAGGGTGGTTCATATCCCCATCTTCGGCATGCTGCAACCGCGGCCTCGAACGTGTTCTGTCCAGGATCAGCACATTCCTGGTCACCAATGCCCAGCACGGGCACTTAGTAGACTTAGTCACTTAGTCATCTCACCTGCAGCTGGCCTTGAAGAATCCTCCATTGTGATGCATCCTTCTGACCTTCTGGATGAATTTGATCATGGTTCCTATAAGGGGAATCAGCTCAAAAATAGGTCATCCAGGTATATGGTATTTAATGGGATTTACAATGGATGTTCCGTGGCCAGGTTTAACTGCCAGAGGGTAATTGCTGAGAAAAAGCACAAAGGCTATGCGGATATGCATGATGGATAGCATGGGAAAGGGGGCTGTCTCTAATAGAGACCAAGCCGACCAAGCGGGCAGCAATTTCATGCCAAAGAAGTGGTGGCAGATCCTTTTTTTTAGTGTGGGAAAATATGTCATTTCAACAGCAAGATTGACGTGCCCCGTGCAGATTCCTGCGTGTCGGAATCCTAGGTTTCCAGATGCAATCCGCAAGCTCACTCCCATTACTCAGCTGTACATCAGCCAGAGCCTTGGTGCAGTACACCCATCCAAGCGCCTGTCAGTCCAAGAAGGTCACCGCCGATCGAACTAAGGCGTAGATGCCGGAACTAAGGAGACCTTAAAGGCAGTGGACAGGCGAGAGCGGGTCCGGAAACGTCCAGATATCTGGCTGAATTATAATGACCTCACCGTGACGTCACTAGAATGATGGCGAGTAGTGGGAGCTAGTTCAATTCGGCCATATTCGGCCTTATTATATGTTATTAAATGTTATATTATGTTATTATATGTTGTTATATGTTATTATATGTTATTATATGATAGTTCATGCTATTATATGCTGTTATATGTTATTATATGTTATTATATGTTGTTATCATATGTACTTCATAGTGCGATAGATGTTTGCTTTTTCTTAGGTTCCTTGGAAAAGGAACATTTACTTATTCAGTGCGATTGCCCACTGAAGGTTGATCATGCAGACCACTCGAACTATATAGCCTGTTTTGTTTGTGCTTAGCAAGCACTTTGGAGCACTGCGTCGCTTTTCCAGCTCTGTTTTCTGCTTTTGGCTGAATTCTGACTAACAGGTCAGCTAGTGACCCTTGGGGATTATAATGGCTTTCTCCGAAAATGGGGCCCCAACTGTTTCTTTGGGGCAAGGTTCAAATCGGAAAACAAGGGGGGGTACCCTGTTTTGAGACAGAAGCATCTTTATTTTGTGGTTGATGGTTTCATAAAGATGTTTTGTGTTTCTACCTTTGTGACGATGATCCTGAGCCAGCTCACCGCCGTTTCTAGGCCGCTCTTTACAGATTTTTGGCCCCGATATTTGGATTCCATGAAGGCGAACCAACGGTGGCACGGCGGGTGACATGCCCCAAGGATGGGGAAGATGAAACATTGATGAAACATGATCAAACAGATGGACTAAATTGTCTAAATCATCACCTGGTAGTAAAAGCAAAAACACATTACAACTGGTTGGTGGTTTGGAACATTTTTTATTTTTCCATATATTGGGAATACTCATCCCAACTGACTAAGATTTTTCAGAGGGGTTGAAACCACCAACCAGATATTATATTTTATGGGAAAGTTATCTCCTGAATGGATTGATGTTCGATTAATACTGGTCGGATTACCAGCGGATTTAGATCTGATGTTTGCTGCTTAAGTCCAGTTTTTGTTTGTTGATTAGTGCTACTTGAAACAACCATTGCTCCCCTGGTTTCTGGAGAAAAAACTATTTGTCGACCATGATTGCTGATTGTTTCTGCCTAAATGTTTTAAACTACATGATTGTTTTGGCAGTAAAATCATATTCTAGTATACTATCTATAGTATATATATATAGTATATATATATATAGTATGTATATATATATATATATGGTATATATATATATATATGTGTAAATTATTCTACTATATTGTGTATATATATGTATTATAGGATATGTTCCATTGTATATGATACATACATACATACATACATACATTACATTACATTAGATTACATTACATACCATACCATACCAAACCATACCATACCATACATACCATACATACCATACATACCATACGTACCATACGTACCATACGTACCATACGTACGTACATAACATAACATAACATTACATTACATTGCATTGCATACCATTACATACCAATACATACCATTACATACTATTACATACAATTACATACATTATGCATACATCCATACATAAAGGCATACATACATACAGACATACAGACATACATACAAACATACATATACACACACATACATACATTACATTAAATTACATTACAGTACATTACATACATTACATACAATTACATTACATACATTACATACATCATTACATACATCAATACATACAGACAAACATACATGCATGCATACATACATACAGACAAACATACATACAGACAGACATACATTACATTACATTACGTTATATTACATTACATTACATTGCAATGCATTGCGTTGCATTACATTACATTACATTACATACATTACATAAACATCATTACATGCATTACATACACTACATACATTGCATACATTACATTCATTACATACATTACATACATTACATACATTACATACATTACATACATTACATACATTACATACATTACATACATTACATACATTCCATACATTACATACATTACATACATTACATACATTACATACATTACATACATTACATACATTACATACATTACATACATTACATACATTACATACAATTACATACAATTACATGCCTACATACAATTACATACCTACATACAATTGCATACATACAATACATACATTACATACATTACATACAATTACATACAATTACATACCTACATACAATTACATACCTACATACAATTGCATACATACATACATACATACATACATACATACATACATACATACATACATACATACATACATACATACATACATACATACATACATACATACATGCATACACGCATACATACATGCATACATGCATACATGCATACACGCATACATACATGCATACATGCATACATCCATACATCCATACATCCATACATGCATACATCCATACATCCATACATCCATACATCCATACATCCATACATCCATACATACATACATCCATACATACACATACATACATACATACATACGTACATATTATCATCTAGTTGATATATATATATATATATATCAAATAATCACATTTTTTGCTGTTTAAACCACATTTCTTTGGTAACATCTGAACAATCTGATGACTCAAATCATCATATTGCCCATGAATTCCTAGTAAAAATCCTATGAATTTGCGTAGTTTCTCCATTTACAGGCAAAATGCGTTTGGAACAACGACCATCCCCCAGAAACTCCTGGGGTTGACGGAGTTGACGGTCGACATGACATCGTCCAGGCGCTGGCTGAGAAGAAACAGCGAACGGTCTATCGTCTTACGCTGGTGAAGGTGGGGTCATGGGCTATTTTGGATGTATGATGATGTATGTATGTATGCAATGTAAGCCAACTAGTATTGTGAATCCATAGTTATACATTTTGAATCCATAGTTATACATAGTTTCACTAGTAGTAAGCCAACTTAATTATCTAGGGGCACCACTGTTTACCCATTTCGGGAATGCGTTGGGACCTCACAAACAACTCTCTGGCAAACTAACATAGAGCTGTGGAAAATCACAAGTTTTCAAGAGATCAATTATAAATCGTCATTTTCCATAGCTATGTTAGTTTACCAGAGGGTATTTAACCAATGACAAATTGTGATTTAATGATTTCAATGGAGATTAATGGGATATAATGACATAATGGAGATATCCTCTGATTATTTAACATAGTTGCTCATTTAGTTTGATGATTGTGTATATGTATATGTATATTTATATTATTTACCGTTTTAAAAATGGTGATGTTTCATAGCTACGTTAAATTTCCAGAGGGTACCCTCCACTATATTAACATAGACCTTGAACATGGCCAGTTTTAGTGGAAACTAAACTTCCAAACCCCTTTAATGGCAGGGTCTCTGTCAATTCTCTGGACGATAAATTAATCAACAACATCATGGTTTATGGGATTCAATACAATGAGATTCAGCTAAATGAGCTGCTATTAGTACAGAAATCATACAATACCACCCCATATGTTTATTGTGGGCTATTGGTATCATTGGGATTTATTCGGAGCAGAGGATAGTTCTGCAATAGCCATAGTTGGTTTATTGGAATATATTTGACAATGTTAGTTATTGCAATAGTTCATTATAAATGTAACACGGACATATTAATCTACGGGACTATGATGGTTTGTAGGTGGTAGAAACGATATTCTGTTTTTTGTCCTTGAAACATGTAGTTGTGTAATAGCAATGTGGTGGCTGTTGTTGTTGGCATGATGCTACAGCAAACCCACATGTCACAACAATGTAGCATTAATGAATGTGTTTGGCTAGCTTCTCTAGGCAAAGCACAACATGTATCAGTCTATACAGTCTATACAGTCTTGAACTCATATTTATATGTATATTATGTAATGTTTAGATGAACCTTTATTTAGTTCCAAGTACTTATCAGCTTATTCTTCATAATATGAAGATATATGAAGTGTAGTTTATCAACAGAAACATGAGCTCAGGAGCGTCACCATGAAACCGTTCGTGGCTTGGGGATTTTTCGGCCAGGAGCAGAACATGGAGGATGCTGGGGACTATGCGAAGCTGGTCGCGTGGCACCCTCAACGATCCATTGGAAGGGCATGGCTGCAATCACGGCTCCGCGGTTTTTTTGCGGGGGGATCCCGGATTGAAATTATGATATAATTACGATAATTATGGAGGATTCATATTCTTGATGTAGCGTAAATTGCTTTTCTGGACATTGGGCGTGAACCAACATACTCTTTCTATTCATCAAGGTATGGGTCTCAAAGTCAGATCCGACAGTTGGCTGGTCCTGTGGCCCCGTCCTGCAGCAAAACAAGTTTGATTTGCCAGAAACCACTGTTTCCACCGGAGCAAAAATGAAAGGATCGGATTGATTGACCTATTGATCTTGGCAATGTTACAACAATCCAGAGAGATATAACTAGGTACACGGGATTGCTATCACTTTGCTATGGCAAATCTGTGTGCATTTTTGTGCGTGTGAGTATTTTTGCGGCCTTTCTCTCAAAAAACTACGTCTATATATTCATCTAATTTCCAACCACATTTTCAATGGATTGGTTTAAGGGAAAATCTAGAGGAAACCATAGATTTTCCCATTATATAAATATGGGGCTTTCCTGTAAATGTTCCCTTAAACCAATCCATTGACATTTACCCAACAATAGGTACTACCACTACTACCACCATTTTTTACTAAGGAATGTATGGCATAAACCATCCCCCAGAGGGTTGCTATGCTGAGGTTGGGCAAGCCCGACTTCATCGAAATTAAGTCAGTCACCTTCTGTGGTGAGTCCAAGGTGTCCAATGGTGATTTGGAACGCATCAAAAACCCATGGTTTTTGGGTCCCGGTCAAACAACATCTGGGACTGAGGGG